ATAGTATCAGCACATTAAATTCATGATGTGGTAGTTCCAACACTATGCCCTTCATGAACCTGCATACCAACTATCTAATGAACTAGAATACACAAGACCACTGTCATTCTACAGTTAGAGTAAGGATAAAAGAGAACCAACTTTCTCGAAAATCACTCCATGGCGGGAGCTGGAAGAACAAATTGTATGATTCCTCAAAGGATGATTAAGAAAGACAAATATTCTCTATTGTATATTGAAACAATATAAAAAGGTGAATAATAAGGCATAACATAGTTCTAAGTTATTATTTTATAACATGAAAATAAATGATTATATGTACCAAGAGTAAAACTTTTTTCCTCTCCTAATAGTGAGAAAAGTTTTACTCCTAAAGATTGAATAGGAGTAAATTATCAACAATCCAAAAAGAGACTCACAAGAAAAAAAATCAGTAGTGGACATCTCCTACTTGCTATTGCAAAACAAAACAATAGGATCAAAATAGGACTGAAGAGGAACATCTCTAAAAAGATCTGTTGCAGTCATCCAGGACTGAAATTTATCGTCAAATATTCTCTAGAATACACCAAGGATCTGTCATCTTCTCTGGCATACTCCAACTCAGATTGATCAATCTACATAAATGAGCATAAACCTCTCTCACCACTGGACGGTGCAAGAATAGGTAACTTGTAGGTTAATGCCCCTTCTGGTTAGATTTTCTCTAGTTAGGCATTTATTCAAGAGTAGAGACCACAATAAGAAAGCTGCCTTGAAGGAATCTGAGGTATCCAGTCCTCTTTATGAGGAAATTTGAATTTTGGTGACTGGGCAGCTTTTTGTAGTACAATTTGACAGAGAATACCCCTGATTTTTCCCACACTCACTGTTTTACATCCTTCCGACTTGGATTGGAGATGCTCTGTTTCATTAGTAGGCCAAGTGCTACTAAGTTCTTGACAGAGAATACCTCTTTCTTTTCTTCATCTTTGTTTCTTTAGAACTTTCATTTTTGTTATTGTCTCAGTCAAGAATGGCTCAAATGTGTTAAAATTTAAATGATTGTGCCATTAATCAAGTAAAGCTATGTTAATGTCTTTATTCCTGAGGATGAATTCTTGTTTGTTGGTTTGTCATGTTTTCCTGGAATTTGTAAAGCAATTTTAGAAGCAAAATATATAGATACTTATGGCTCTAAAGTGGAATTGCACCTTAATACCAAAGCATATTCTTTTCTTTCAAAATGTTAGGTCAAAAGAATATTTATGATAGCAGCATCACAATCTATTTAACATGCCTATGCAAAGTGGAGTTTTTATTTATGGAAATTTGTAGTGACAGGTGAATAAAAACATAGACCTGCATGGAGGTAGAGATGCCATTGGGTTGGGAGGCTTTCCTACATGCATAGGTTTTGAGACTTGAATAGGACTTATGTGTTCTTCAAAGAATTTGATGTCCAACAGGAACTAGTAGGCTCTTTTCAAAGATCAGTCACCACAAATTCTTCGCAAATATGATGTTTCCAACTAAACAGTTCATCTGTACTTAAAGTCCCTTGCAAATTCCACATCTTCAATAATACATACCGCATAGTTCTCTATTCTGTGAATGAAACATTTATTTCTACCAAGCACAAAGTCATATTTAAACAAAAAAATAAAAAATAAAACTTCCAGTCTAAGCATTTTTAGTAGTAGGTAGTTATTGATAGGACATAATAGAATACAACTAGAATATTTTTCAATAATACAAACCCAATTTGATATGCTTTCTTCTCTCTTTCTCTCTTCTCTTCTCTCTCTCTCTTGTTTTGGAGCTCTATTTTGTTGGAAGCCTCCTTGTTCTAATGCTCACAATGTACACTTGGATTTTCTTCTTGATGCATATTTAATGAAATCTATAGTTTCTTATCAAAAATATAAAATAAAAATTAAAGGTTCCATATTTCCATAGGACAAACACTAGAGTTTTCACAAAGAATAACAAGTTACAGTAATTATGCAAAAAATAATTACTTTTCTTTAATCTGGACAATGATAGATCCCTTTGCCATATTTATAGAGAACAACTCAAAGTTCAAACCAAATGATACTATTTTAATTTTTTTATAGGCTAATAAAAACATATTTGACTTAATACAAAAAGAGGGATAGGTTCCCTTATGAAATACTTACAAAAAGAAGTATATGTAAATGAAGGTGCATGATCTGGTAGCTCTCTGCTAGAGGACAGCTCAAACGCCAGACTATGTAGTTCACTTGGTCGAGCTGCAAAGAAAGAGATAATATCAGAGTACCCAGGCTACTTTTACCCGATGTGGGCACTCCAATGCTTAAGTCAGCGAGTTGGAGTTTTTGAGAGCTAGAAAGTAAGAGAGAGAGAGAGAGAGAGAGAGAGAGAGAGAGAGAGAGAGAGTGCTAAATAGCGTGTACCTCATGATGTTAGAGGTGAGGCCCTTATATAGGCGAGCTGTCGTGAGCCTCACAAAACACATCCAAGATCTCCGCTCCGTCTGGTTCAGAGGTGGTTCCATGCATGGAGGTGGACTCCGTGTAAGCAAGTAATGTCTATCCAATCTCATCCGAAATGGGTGGGGTGATAACTAGCTCTTCCAACGTGGTGTTGTGATCTCGTGAAATTCGAAGGCAATTGACCACTTAAGGGGGAGGTCGCTTGGCGCATTAGGCAGGTCACTAACCGGGGCAAGTTTAGTGGAAGCAGGTCACCTCTTACACCAACCTAAGGTGATGCCTAGCTATTCGTAGTTCAGCCTACTGGGGTGGTGCCGAGGTCGTTGATGTAGTCGTGAAGTGTCTGAAGTGGTTTACATATATGGTGTCGATGTATCATCCAACTGTTCTATGATGCCACGTGTCATGATGTCATTGGAGGACCAAATTACCCCTCATCAGTAAATATGATTGTACATGATATCCACAAAAAGTTAGTAGCCACCATATATAACAATATACCAATGAATTATGTCATGCATCGACTGTTTGGATGAGCCTTCCTAATGGTGTCAATGGGTTAAAATGGATTAAATCTAGATCATATAATGCTTTTTAGATGAAGGGGATTTATATTTTATGTCATGCATCAACTGTTTTCCAGTTCAACAAATGCTTTTAATAATTACCTGGGGATATCCAATTCAGCAAACTTGGATCCATCAATGATTTTACCAAAGAAGATGGATCTAGCCTAAGAAAGCACACTAAATCATCAAGGTATATACAAATACTCACAAGATAATAACTGATTTTACAAATTAATACTCACAAGATAATCTTTCATCTAGTAGAAATAATGCATACAAATCTACAATTTTCTAAACAAAATAAAATAGCATTGAAAACAATTGAAAACTCACCTTGCAAAGATCCGAAGGATATGCGAACAAATAGCTTCAAGAGATCAAACACGTAGAGGTTCTCCCAAATCCCCCCCTATGAAATGCTTGTTAGAATGGGACTGAAGAAAGGAATAAATAAAAATGTGAAACCGTCCCAAGTCCTAGTGTCTTAGAATTCACTGAAAGAAACCGGAATCCACGTCCGTTGAAGATCAAATCAGAGAGAGAGACCGTTGTCGATGCCATCACTAGTTGGATGCAGTTCAGTGGTGCGAGAAGACTGGGAGAGAAGTGAGAAAAGAGTAAGCAAAGGTTTGACCGTAAAATGTGAGAGAGAGAGAGAGAGAGAGGAGCGGGAAGACAAATAAATGAAAGAAATAAGAGTGGGAGGAAGAAAATCCTATTTTCCGCAGGCTTTAGTATAGCACCAGGCAATCTAGTTTAAAGACTAGGGAAATTGTCTAAAACTCACAATGACTTTTTAACATTTCCCTTAAACTCACCACAACTTTTCAAAATATCTAAAACTCACCATTTTAGTAAGTTTTTATTTTCCAAAACTCACCTTCCGTTAGTGCGCCGTTAATGGTGAGTTAGACGAAAAATGGTATTTTTCAGTTTTCAATTTTCTTGTTTTTTTTTTTTGCATTTTTAGTGTCTTGTTATAATTCCAATGTTTTTTATAATTTCTGTTTTTTACATTCTATTTTCTACAATCTATAATTTTTCCTATACTTTTGTTATTTATTTGTAATTTCTGTGTTTTTCTATAATTTTTGGTGTTTTTTCTACCATTTTTATTTTCTGATTTTGTTTTTCAATTTCTATAGTTTCTATAATTTGAAAATAATTTTTAATTTTGTTTGCAATTTCTATAATTTTTTTATATTTTTTGTAATTTCTATGTTTTTATGTATTTTATATTTGAAAATATTTTTGAACTTTAACTTCTTTTCATGTCTAAATATTAAAATGATAATATATTAACACTTGTTAATTTATTTTGTACATATTTTATATTTTTCTACGAAAAAATAGTGATATATTAACACCCATTAGTCTGTTTAATGTCAAGTTAGTGACATGGTGAGTTTTAGACATTTTGAAAAGTTATGATAAATTTAAGAGAAATGATGAAAACTCATGGTGAGTTTTAGACAATTTTCCTAAATACTAACAATTTTAGCTACAGCCATTTATCTGCCCGCTAAAAAACTGTCCCTAATGCCCAATTTTCCTGTGGTGACATCAGAAGATGCAATTCTTTTTTTTTTTTTTTCATTTTTTTGGCGAAGAATTTTGTGAATAACAAATGGCATAACCGATGAATCGTCTAAAATCCTTTCCAATATCAGGATGACGTGGCACATCACGATTGACCCAGTATCCTCCGGTTCCTGTAGAGGATCCAAAAATCTATCTATATGTGTATAGATAGATGAATTGGTATAAACATGGATAGATATATGGATAGAGTGTTGGACAAAAAAGAAAAAGAAGCAAAGATTTCAGCTACCATCCTATCTATCTTACTTGGCACACTCAGTGCCACAAACACTCTTCAGAAATCCTTCCACCAATGGTGTGAGAGTTGCAGAGTTTCATGGATGACAACACTTTGTCTCTTTCTTCCTTGACGCCTCCTATTTATACTCTCTCTCCTTCTCAGACCCAAAACCATCCATTTCACGTAAACACTGTAACTATCTACCTGATCTCATTCGCTCTTCTACCATGGCTGCCTCTACAATGGCTCTCTCTTCTCCCTCATTCGCCGGCAAGGCCGTGAAGCTTGCTCCGTCCGCCTCCGAGAAGCTACTCGGTGAAGGCAGAGTCACCATGAGAAAGACTGTGGCTAAGCCCAAGCCGGTTTCATCCGGTAGCCCATGGTATGGACCAGACAGAGTCAAGTACCTGGGACCATTCTCCGGTGAGCCTCCCTCCTACCTCACTGGTGAATTCCCTGGTGACTATGGCTGGGACACTGCTGGGCTGTCTGCTGACCCTGAGACCTTCGCCAAGAACCGTGAGCTCGAGGTCATCCACTGCAGATGGGCCATGCTTGGAGCTCTTGGGTGTGTCTTCCCTGAGCTGCTCGCTCGGAATGGTGTTAAGTTCGGCGAGGCCGTGTGGTTCAAGGCTGGTGCACAGATCTTCAGCGAGGGTGGATTGGACTACTTGGGCAATCCAAGCTTGATTCACGCCCAGAGCATTCTAGCCATCTGGGCTACCCAAGTTATCTTGATGGGTGCCGTCGAGGGCTACCGTGTCGCCGGCGGGCCTCTTGGTGAGGTGACAGACCCACTCTACCCCGGCGGCAGCTTTGACCCACTTGGACTAGCTGATGACCCTGAGAAATTCGCTGAGCTTAAGGTGAAGGAGATCAAGAACGGCAGACTGGCCATGTTCTCTATGTTTGGCTTCTTTGTTCAGGCCATTGTGACCGGCAAGGGACCATTGGAGAACCTCGCCGACCACCTTGCCGACCCTGTCAACAACAACGCTTGGGCTTACGCCACCAACTTTGTTCCGGGCAAGTGATCAGCAAAAGAGAAAGCACAATTAATAATATTTCTTCTTTACTGCTCAGAGAAACCATGTGTGCATTTGATTTTTGTGTTGACATGCAGTTTGATGGAGCCAAATCGTAAACAGTCTTATTTGTATGTTCAGTTATATGTTTCTGATGAAATGAGATTTGATTTGTATTGAGTTCTTTCAATTCAGAGCTCCTAGATTAGCAAGCCACCTTCATGAAACTGCATTCATCCATCACAGGTCTGGAATGGGCCAGTACAGTGTTGTGTTCATTAGATTCCATATGGATGAAAATCAGTTAGTGGGTGTAAGGACCTACAGGATTTGTATATCATTAATAATTTATGAAACTCGAGCTTTATTTAGCCTTTAATAACATCAGCTCTTCAAAATTCAAACCTCTTGTTGGTTAGATTATCTTGACATTTGGGCTATGTTTGGTTTGAAAGAAAAAGTAAGGAAATTAAAGAAAGGGAAAGATAGGGAAACCTATATAAGATTTGTAAAGGCTTCTTAATTACCTTTCCCTACTTTTTCCTTCAAACCAAACACAGCCCTTGGAGAATGGGGAGTGATGTTTTGGGTGTTAGGACTGCTTTCCTCCTTTCCCTTTTCTTTTTTGAGTGTATAAACAAGAAACTTTAATGCAATTCTTGGATTCTTCATTTCTTTGCCCTAGAGAGACGGTGGGACTCATGAAAAGACATGTCCAATTGTCCATACTGAGTACTTTTCATCTTACCATAATACCCATTAAAAGAAAAAAGAACTCACCACATCATTAGGGCAGATTTCCTGGAGAACTTTGCATAAACCCATTGTTTTCTACAATGTTGTCAAACTCAAACCAGAGGTAAAACCGTTTGGTTATTGGGTCACTGATTGAATAGTCCCATTTAACTTGTTCAACTCTTTAATTATATTTATTCAAATGCAAAGAAAAATATAAAAATACAAATAACAGCAAATATTACTTCTAATAAGTTATCTTCTAAAGCTATTTCACATCAAAATCAGCTTAATTTCTAACACATAGAAACACATGTAAAAAGCCAACCCGTAGAAGTGCTTGGATTGGGTCCACTTTTGTTCCAGTTGCAGACTTGCGTGCAGTCATGACCTGTACCATTTGGTTATACTTCTTTTAAATATTCAACTTATATTCTTTTAATTGTGGTGAATTTTTTTTCTCTAAATTAGAAAGGAATTTACAATCCAAATTCTTAGGTCCGAATATATATAGTGAATTCAATGTATTTTATCTGATAGTTTAAACTTTAAACATACAATCAATCACGCCCATTGACCAGGGGTGTAATCGAGCCAAGTCAAGCCGAATATCAATTTACTTGTGCTCAAACTCAGTTGATAAACATAGAACTCGAAACTCGACTCAAGCTTATCAAGTTTATGTATTTGGCTCAACACTCGTGAGTAGGGGTGTTAATTGGACTGGATTTGGTCCAATCTGATCCAGTGAATCTACTATAAATGGATCAAGTTCAATTCAAACCAATGAATGTTTTGAACCAATTTGGACCGATCCAATTCAATGTCTGAACTGTCCAATTTATTCAAATTCATTTTGATTTAGATTGGTTTCAATCCAAACTTGGTCCATTAACACATATATTCTTATCTTATATCAATGGACCAGATATTGGCTTAATCCAACCCAATCCAATATAAATTTGTTACGGATGGACCAGGTGCAATCTAGTCTAATAAATATTTTGACCAGATTGGTTGAATCCAATATGTCTTGTTGGTCCATCCAATCCATCCAATTTGATTTTGGACTGGATGGGGTCCAATCCAAAACCGGTCCATTGATACTCTTACTCATGAGCTATTCGAGCCCAACTCAACTCAAGCTGGTTATAAATAAATTAGTATTAAAAATTATAAATAAATTAATATTAAGTATATTAAAATACTAAAAATTATGATAAATTGATATTATTATGAATGTTATAAATAAAAACATATGAAAACCAATTATAAATGTATTTATTTATATTATCAATATGCTAATGTCAAAAAATTAATGATTTTGTATTATATATAATAACAAACATATTAAAAATAATAATATTTTCTTATGAACTCGATTAGACTCACAAACCACTCAAGCCGATTGTTGCAAAGACTGAACTCGGCTCAACCAAATACTTGACTCAAGTCGAGGTCGAGCGCAACTCAAACTCAATTACTATGAGCCAATTAAGAGATGGAGATAAAACCTAATTAAGAGTGGTAATTAGAGAAGCATATCCCAAAAATGATAAATGGGCACACCCCTAGTGACTGGTGAATAGTGAATAGGCCAAAAGTGATGACGTTTTGAAAAGAAGGAACTTCAATATATGTAGATATGTACTTCGGCATGGGTGCCTTTTGTCTTTTAACTAGGGATGTGTCCATCTATCAAAATTGGGTTGTGCCCTAATCAGCTCTCTTCTTGTAAGCTTGGATAGAAATATGGATAGGGTGCTTAGACACTTAGCAAAGAGATATATAGATTTTGTACCATCTCATTCTCATCTTACTTGGCGCACTCAGCACCACCAAAGACTCCCCAAAAATCCTTCCACCAATGGTGTGAGAGATTTAGAGGTTCATGGGCGACAGGGCTTCGTCTCTTTCCTCCTTGACGCCTCCTATTTAGCCCCTCTCCTTTCTTAGCCCAACAACCATCCATTTCACATAAACACAACAATTAACCCTCTCAGTTGTTCTTCTACCATGGCTGCCTCTACAATGGCTCTCTCTTCTCCCTCATTCGCCGGCAAGGCCGTGAAGCTTGCTCAGTCCGCCTCCGAACAGCTACTCGGTGAAGGCAGAGTCACCATGAGAAAGACTGTGGCTAAGCCCAAGACGGTTTCATCCGGTAGCCCATGGTATGGACCAGACAGAGTCAAGTACCTGGGACCATTCTCCGGTGAGCCTCCCTCCTACCTCACTGGTGAATTC